CCCTCCCACTTCCCAGGGTCCTTCAGCTGAGGCTGGAATCTGGGACACTCACCTGCAGCGAAATGCTTTCCTCTATCTGAGTTTTCTTAGGATAAACAATGCCAACAAAATGTCCAAAACATCAGAGAGGCTGGAGATGATGTCAGGTCTGCTACTGTTCTTGAAAACTTCCATTTTGATGAAGTACATTTAGTAAATTTCAAAAAGAGACTCATGTTTTTAATAGCTATAATAACTTGTGTTTTGAAATTGCCACAAATGTTTTCTTCTTCGACTTTTTATTTTCCAAGTTTTTCGCATTTAATACATTTTACTTTTAATATCAGATTTTAAATATTTTAATTAGGAAAGCATGTGGTAGGAATTCAAATAGTACTGAAGAATACACATCATCAAAAATGAAATACACCCAGAACCCTGGTGGTCCAGTGGCTAAGACTCTGCACTCCCAATGCAGGAGGCATACTATAACACTGTTGGGAACCTTAATTTTTATTGAACTAAGTATCTTGAACATCGTTTCATCTCAGTGACCTCTTTATTTTTTAACAGCTGCACATCCTGTAGATGTGCCGTAGCTCATACACAAATCAGCTTACACATATGTAGTATATGTACATGTTTATACATACAGACACATACATTTATGCACACATACACATAAACCCCAATGGACCATGGACTTCTGGGTACTTCCCGAGTTTTCCTGTGAGCAGTCTCATACTTGGGCATCTTGTACATGTGAGGATGTGCCCAGCTGAATTCCAGGTAGAAAACTGCTGGGTCAGAGGGTCTGGACCTGGACTCTTGGCGGGTGTCACCCGTGGCCCCATTGCGTGTGAGCGTTGCCCCTAGAGACGGCGTGTGAGTGAAGTGCCTGGGCACCTCCAGGGTGGGCTTCTGGGTTGAAGTGAGGAAGTTCAGCAGATGAAGCTCAAGGCTTCTCCCCATCCACAACCAACAGAAGCAAGGGTCCTGCTCCCGGGAGAGTGTGCCCATGGCCCCAGGCACACCCAGGCACTGAGCCCTGAATTTCCCGTGACAGGAGGAGGCTGTCAGAGCCCTGATTGGGGGGGTGTAGGGAATGTGCTTACACTTGCTGGGGGCCAAACCCTAATATTTTTTGGGTTGTCCCAAAAGTTCGTTCGGATTTTTGCATAAAATGTTACAGAAAACCCAAATAAACTTTTTGGCCTACTCAATATATCTCACAAGGTAGGTAATTAACAAGTTAGGAATAATTGGCTCTGCTTCACAGGTAGGGTGAGTCCTAGCTGATAGTTTCACACTGTTTCCTAGCCGCTAGACACTGTTTCAAGCTCTTCATATAGATTACTTATGGATCTTCACAACAACCAAATGAGATAGGTACTATTATTAGACCTACTTTCTGGATGAGGAAACAGAAGTGCAGAAAAGTCCAGTAACTTCCCCAAGGACATACAGCTGGAAAATGGAGATGCTAGACCTGGAACAAGGCCATTTTCACCATAGAGTCCTATGCCTGGGATGTACCTGTGTCTTCTCCATGCGCTAGGGAGGACACTGGGTTACTGCTGAGGCAAGAGGACTTCAGGTGAGATCACGTTGGCAGAGTGTAGGCAAGATGCATGCAAGACAAAGACCGGGTCACCGGGGACTCTGTGCTATTGTTATGAACGGTCCTGAGACAGCTGCCTTCAGGGCATGGACACTGGGGCTCCCACACCCTCCTACAGGGTTGGAGGTGCCGTGCTGGGGGGGGTGAAGGTCAAGTTTCTCCTGCTAGCGTGAGAGGGAAACATTTCTCTCCTGATTTATTTCATTCCTCTCTTCTGCAAATGGACTGTGCATTTTGTGAATTATAAGCACATATGCAGAGTCAGGGGGACTTCCCCGGTGGCTCAGTGGTAAAGAATACACCTGCAGTGCAGGAGACGTTGAAGTCACAGGGTCGATCCCTGGGTCGGGAAGAGGGTGGTACCCCACTCCAGTATTCTTGCCTGGAGAATCCCGTGGCCAGAGGAGCCTGGCCGACTACAGTCCACGGGGTCCCACAGAGTCAGACACTGAAGTGACTGAGCAGGCACACACATGCATAGTCAGAGGAGATGCATAATTAGAATGATAAGGGTTAGAGAAAGAGACTCACAGACTTAGAAAATGAACTTACGGTTGCCAGGGCGAAGGGACAGTTAGGGAGTTTGGGAAGGTTCACGTTGGCAGAGTGTAGGCAAGATGCATGCAAGACAAAGACCGGGTCACCGGGGACTCTGTGCTATTGTTATGAACGGTCCTGAGACAGCTGCCTTCAGGGCATGGACACTGGGGCTCCCACACCCTCCTACAGGGTTGGAGGTGCCGTGCTGGGGGGGTGAAGGTCAAGTTTCTCCTGCTAGCGTGAGAGGGAAACATTTCTCTCCTGATTTATTTTATTCCTCTCTTCTGCAAATGGACTGTGCATTTTGTGAATTATAAGCACATATGCAGAGCCAGGGGGACTTCCCCGGTGGCTCAGCGGTAAAGAATACACCTGCAGTGCAGGAGACGTTGAAGTCACAGGGTTGATCCCTGGGTCGGGAAGAGGGTGGTACCCCTCCAGTATTCTTGCCTGGAGAATCCCGTGGCCAGAGGAGCCTGGCCGACTACAGTCCACGGGGTCCCACGGAGTCAGACACTGAAGTGACTGAGCAGGCACACACATGCATAGTCAGAGGAGATGCATAATTAGAATGATAAGGGTTAGAGAAAGAGACTCACAGACTTAGAAAATGAACTTACGGTTGCCAGGGCGAAGGGACAGTTAGGGAGTTTGGGAAGGTCATGTACACACTGCTGTATTTAAAAAAGGATAACCAAAAATAAAATAAAATAAAATGGATAACCAACAGGGACCCACTGTATATCGCATGGAACTCTGCTCAGGATTATGTGTCAGCCTGGATGAGAGGGAAGTTTGGGGGAAGATGGATAAATGTGTATGTATGGCTGAGTCCCTTTGCTCTTCACCTGAAACCACAACATTGTTAATGGGCTTCACCCCAATACAAAGTAAAAAGTTTCAAGTTTGGGGGAGGAAAAGAATGATGTGGTTAGTGATTGCATATAGAGCTTGTCTTTTGCCTTCTTCAGTGTGGTGATAATTAATTATAGCCTGTGGGCTTTGTGTTGGGAGAAGAGAAAAATTGCTGTGGTGAAGGGTGCAGACGACAGGGGCCCCGTGGGGCCTCGCGGTTGACTGAGCCGTTAGTGAGTGTTTTCGCTCAGGAACATGGGGGCTAGAAGCTGTTTGACAGAGGGGAGATAGGGAGACTTGGCCTGAAGGTGGAAAATGAGGGTGCCTGCGTCCAAGTGCATTGTGTGAGGTGATTAAGACACACACACACCCCCACACCTACCCTCGCCTGCTTTCTTTCATCTGTTGCTCAATACTGTGAAATTAGAATGAAAATGATACGCGACTTGTCCTCCAACCACAGAACAAGCAGCTCTGGGCTTCTGTTTACTGAGATGACAAAGACTTACTGAATTCTAGAAGAGAGAAGTTTTTCGGTTTTATAATTCTTGGTATTCACGTTGTTTACCTAAACCTCTTACTTACGGGTGACTCGCTTTCTTGTTCCCTGAAGTGTCTTCAGCAGTCCCCAGGTGGCTGCTGGGCCCCGCCTGCCCGTGTGATAGGAAAGCCCCGTGTGAACAGGTAAATCCCACGGTTCATTTCGTTTGCCCACCGCCTGTCCATCAGCTATGCCAGCCCCTCCCCCAGCATTTAAACAGGGGATGTAGGTTCCCTGTCTTGGATAGATATAACTATGTCCAGGGGCACTTCCCTGCTAGCTCATTTGGAGATATTTTTGCTTGTAAATCGGCCATCAGAAGCAGCCGCTGGTATAGGAAAGACCCAGACCCAGTGGTAGGCAGCACAGCACAGTCGGGCTGGGTGAATCCCAATCATCTCTGCTTGTCACTCTGAGGCCTCATCTGCTGATCCAAGCTCTTGAGCGCCAGAGGGGGCCCTGGGTGGCCCTGGAAATCATGTGCCCTGGGTGGACATGTAACAGAGGGGTACAGACTGATCTCTGTGCTGCAGACTTCATGGTCCTGCTCCCCGGGGGCTGTGTGGGAGAGATGAGACAGTAACCGTGTTTCCAGGGAGCGTCTCTGACTTCTCAGCTGTCTTAAGAAAAACGGCAGGAATTGTATCAACCCTTAAAGCAAAAGAAAAAAATAATTCCCACCACACACATTGCTAGGGTTTGATTCTGAGGTTTAAAAAATATGTTGGATCATTTGCAATCACAGAGGGGTCAGCATCCATTTAACCAGCCTCTAAGCCTTCTTTAATCCTACACAGTGACCTTTGGTTTTGCAATTCTGATTCTCTTGATCTGAGAGTCAGTGATCTTCTTGGATTTGAGGATTCCTATTCTGAGGGCTCCATCCTGCACTGGGAAGGGGTAATGTATAATATAGAGACTGGCTACACAGCTGTGGAACTTCTGCTGTTTTGGCTTAAAAACAATGAAAAACAAAGGAAAAAATGAATTAAAGGGATTCTTTAGGAAATCATTTTCTTGTAAATATGTTCTCTGTATCTGTTTTTCCTTCATTGCCTGGTGCCTTTGGATTTCAATGAAGATGAGTTCTAAAGAATACATATCTGAAGTCAGTAGACAATAGATAATACTTTTTTGATTGATGGACTCTCAGCTGACCGTGACTCTGGCTCATATTTGAATGGCTTGTTCTGCAGGGAAGTGGTGGTGGTCAGTGGCTGGGGACCAGATCTGAACATGGGTGACTGAGAGGTTGTACTTCCTTTGTTCATGGGCGAGTGACTGCACACTCCCTCCCTCCTGCCAGCACAGTGCACAAATGCCAAGCCGTCCTGGGTCAGAGAATTAGCTGCGGGGGTCCGGAAGTGAAGGCAGGAATTTCTTTTTGGGGCCTTTCCAGAAGTATTGTTGAGTTTATGTGGATAGTTGAAGTGTTTAAATATTCTTGTTTCCCATTATTTTCAGAGCCAAGATTTCTGAAGACTTCTAGAAACGATTGGGAAGTTTCGAGAAGGCACAAGATACAGGTAAAATCCCCTTTGTTTCTCAATATATCTTGCAGTTTAGCCAAGTTAACACCTTATAGAAGCTTCAGTGGGATCCAGCTGGAGGCTGGTCCTCCTGTGAGATGTTAGGGGCAAAGATCTGGACTTGGCCACTGCCCCTTGGGACTGGCTTAAGGGGAAGCCCCCAGGGCAGTAGGGGCACTGCCTCTCTTTTCTCTCCTCCCCCTGCCCCAGCTGCCTTTCCACCCTGTGCTCCTTCCCCTGCCCCCTTTCTGAAATGCAGTCCCCTGGTCTAGGCATTGAAAGGCTCCATCTTCTTTTTTGGGAGTACAAGGGAGGCTTCCCTGGTATCTCAGTGGTAAAGAATCTGCCTGCCACGCAGGAATGTAGGTTCCATCCCTGGGTCAAGAAAGATCCCCTGGAGAAGGAAATGGCAACCACTCCAGTATTCTTGCCTGGAGAATCCCATGGACAGAGGAGCCTAGCGGGCTATAGTCCACGGGGTCGCAGAGTCAGACACAACTGAGCACACACCCACGTGGGGGTCATCATGAGGTCTGGTGTGAAAAGAGCACTGTCTGTGTCATCTGCCGTGAAATCGAGTCATTTTGTGATCAGTCTTAATTTTTGTTGATAAATACATGGTCAGCCATGTACCTCTAGCTTTAGAGGACAGAGATATGCCAGTTTAATTGGTAAAAGCAAAAGGCAAGCCCTCACGTCCCTTTCTTCCTGTTATGCTACTCATGTATTGTGGATGAGCAAGTAGGGTTGTCATTTCCTCTGACTTTTCGATACACCTGCTGCCAGGATGGTTCTCGGTATCTGCCATGCGTGGCAATCGCGAAAACCAGTTGTGCCAGCTTGGGGGCCAGTTTTAATGAACATAGATAGCTTCACTTCTCAGGACACTTTGCACTCTCTGTGTGTATTGACTGGTTATGTACATGCACATTTTAAATTATTTGCTCTATTGGGCCAGAGCTCTGTAGTTTGTTAGTTTTTCTTTCTGTAGTTGTTAGGAGTGTGTGTTTGTGTTCAGTGTGTGCTCACTCGTGTCTGACTTTTTGTGACCCCATGGTCTGTAGCCCATCAGACTCCTCTGTTCATGGGATTTCCCAGGCAAGAATACAGGAGTGGGTTACCGTTTCCTCCTCTGGGGGATCTTCCCAGCCCAGAGATCAAACCTGCATCTCCTGTGGCTGCTGCATTGTCAGGTGGATTCTTTACCACTGAGCCATCTGGGAAGCCCAGGAATAATTGCACTTATTAGGAATTCTAGTCCCAGGCATTTACATTATAAGTATTTTTTTCCAAATATTTTCCCATAGATTGTCTTTTGTTTGCTGGACACTTTGTTTTAAAGAAAGATTTTGGGACACAGGAAAATTGAAAGTAAGAGTGTTTCTTCTGTTCAGTACTACATTGAGTTGTTGGAGAATTCCAATGTAAAGGCCTAAGAGGGTGGAGTCTCTTGTTACTTTTACCTTGTGGTCTGTTATAATAATAGCATGAAATATATGCAGGAAAAAGAAGTCACTTCTCATTTTTATGTAAATATAAAAAGGTCAAAGAAATGGCAGGAATAGATTCCTGTTACTTTTACCTTGTGGTCATAAAAAGCATGCAAGAGAAGAAGCCACTTCTCATTTTTATGTAAGTGCAAAAAAGGGCAAAAAAAATGGCAAGAGTAAACACCAAGAAGTGGGCTGGGTTATGGAACATTACACACAGCTCCACAGGTTAATGTTCTCGATATAATATATTCTCACTGACTTGAATATAGTATAGAGGAGACATAAAAATTTAATACATTAAGTTTTTACAAAGAAGTATAAAGTGTAATTCATTGTTTTAAAAGCAAACATAAAGCGTGAGTCCCCTGGACGTTCTCCCTCCCCAGAGATAATCAGTGTTAACTCTTGGACGTGTGTCTGTGTTCATATGTCTGTATGTGCACCTGTGTGTCTGTGGCCATGCCTGCATCCTTTTGTATGTTTCTGTGGGTACTTGTCCCTGGAGGAGGGCATGGCAACGCACTCCAGTATTCTTGCCTGGAGAGTCCCCATGGACAGAGGAGCCTGCCTGGCTACAGCCCACAGGGTCACAAAGAGTCGGACACGACTGAGCGACTCAGCACAGCCCAGTGCAGCGTGGGCACCTGTGTTCCTGTGTGTGTCCTTTTGTGTGTCTTTTGTGCGTATCCGTGTGTGTGAGTGGACCTGTGCTTCCTGCCTGGACATATACGGGTCTCCCTGGCCTGCTGCTCTATGCCTGTCTTTCCACACAGTCAAGATGCCATGTGCTTTTCAGTGGATCCGATGGAGCCGCCTCAGTGTCCTGCACATGTCTCTAACCAGCCCCCATGGAGGTGCATCCCTCCAGATGCCCTTGCGCTCTCAGTGTGGCCGGCCTGTCCTCGTCCATGTAGCCCTGCACACTGGGTTGGTCCATAGGATTGCTGCCCAAGAATCACTAGGAAGTCGGAGCCGTCTGGAAATTCAGAATTGTCGTCAGAAATCCTCCACCTCACCAGCACCCCTGAAAACTGAAACCGTTAGTTGTTTAGTCATGTCCCACTATTCGCGACCCCATGGACTGTCGCCCGCCAGGTTCCTCTGTCCATGGGATTCTCCAGTCAATAATACTGGAATGGGTTGCCATGATCTTCTTCAGGGGATCTTCCCAACCCAGAGATCGAACCCGGGTCTCCCGCATTGCAGGCAGATTTTTTACCATCTGAGCCACCAGGGAAGCCCCACCAGCATCCTCTAACTGCAATCTTTTAAAGTAATTTCTCTCTGCCTCATGGGGGAATGTTTAGGTGTTTTATATAAGTTTTCTTTATTAGTAGAGTTAAGAACCCTTGGAGTTACTTTTGAAGGTAGGAAAGTCTTATATGATTAGGAGAAAATTAAGAATGCAAATAAATTCCATGTTAAGGCAGAACTTTTCAACAGTGTCATTTATCTAAGTTTGCTCTCTCTGGAGGTCTAAGTGAGGACTGAAGCACCAGTTTTAGTGGCATTTCAAATATCTCCTGGTGCACACAGCATCCTTTGGCCCTTGGGGAAACAAGCCTAGGGGCATATCTTGTGCTGAGCTCCCCATGGTGTCAGCAGCCCTGAAGGACACACATTCCTCCCCAGAGGCAGGCCGACCAGTAAAGTCAGGCCAGGGGAGGGGGTTATCTTCTTTTTGCCAGTGTTAAACTATCTGGGCTCAGAGACAGGTGCACATGCTATGCTTGGGCACCGCACACCTTCCAAAGAGACAGTCCACGTGTGAAGTGTAGAATGGTGTTGCACAGGTGGTTGGTCCCTCCCTCCACTGGCCCCTCTGCTGTGGGATCCCTGCAGCCCTGCACCCACCCTGCATCTGCCCTTCTCAGCACTTGCCCATCACCACTGCTGATTGATTGCTGAGTAATTGATTGCTTTGGACATCTGTCACCCCGCCGCCGTGTCTCATTCCTGGCTCCCATGCAGCACGTGTGTGGCACACCCGTGCCTGGGTTGAGGTGAGAGAATAAGGAAGGTTTCAGGCATGTGGGGACATCCTGACAAACTTGTTTGCCCCTGGGAAGTGGCTGGGGGGGAAAGCCTGTGTCCCGGACACTCTTCCACTGGGGAAGGGGAATGGGGGGCCGGTTCCAGCAAGACTCAGCTCCAAGACTGCGCATGGCCTCGGCAGCTGAAGTGCTGCTCCCGCCATCCATTCTAAGTGCTGGGGAAACCGAAGTTGAATCAGTAGACTGTCTGTTGTGTGTGTGAACAGAGAACTTCTGAACCTGTTTCTGGTTTCTGAAGGGGCAAGGCCATTTGGCAAGGGGGTGACATCAGCGACACAGCCAGGAGTGGGGGAGGAGAGCATTGAGGGCGGGGAGGGGAGGAGGGGGCACAGCCTGAGGCTGGACTAGGGGCTGGGCTGGGGAGGGGAGCCCAGGGTGGGGGACAGCCTGGTGATGGGGATGTTGGGCTTGGCGGCAGCACTGGCAGGGCATGGTTTTGGGGTGGCTGTTGGGTTCTCTGCCCCTGGCTGGGGAGGGGAAGGTATGGCCAGGTGTGTGTCTTTCCGCTATCCTGGCCATGGGGCCTGGAGGGTAAGTGGGGCTTCACTTGCCCTGTTGGGCGAACCCCACAGACAAGAAGCCTGAGCAGGCACCCCCGCAGTTGTCCACAGTGGTCACCCGGGCTTCCTTCATGGGTTCCCTGGGGATGCCAGTGAGGGCACTTTGAACATTGGTTTAGCATTCTGTAGCTGACGGAGCACTGACACTTTACATGTGGCGGCGAGTGGTGTCCTCTCTGTGACCCTACAGATGCTACAGCTGATCCCAGGAGGGGAAGACGAGGTGTGGTGTGGGCAGGACAGACCTCAGACAACACCCTTGGCCCACAGTTCCTGCCTGGTAGGACCCTAGCCTTCAGTCACTAGGCACATCTGGGAACACAGTGCTAGATCAGGACTTGTGTGCTGCACATACTGCGTAGGCGTACGTGTACGCACATGCACACGCAGGCATGCATGAACAGACACATATGCACACACCTACTCACATGCACACACCTAAAGGTATATAGAGGCATGAATGAACCTGAATAAATATAGGTCCATGTATGTACACAGTACATGGAGTGCACACACTTACAGATGCACACACAGCACATACGTGCACATATACACTCTGATACACACATGCATGTGTATACATGTGTGCACACACATACGTGCACAGACGTGTGCATGATTTCCTGAAACAGCCCTTAGCCTGTTTTTCTGTGTCCCACCCCCTGACATGCTTCACGGTCACTCAGGTGGAAGGCTGCTGTGTGACAGACACTGACAGGCCCCTGAGAGATGGGCTCAGAGACCCCTTGGGGTTCCAGTCTCCTGATGTTTAAAGTGGGGTCGTGCACTCCGGCTGCAGCAGCACAATTACGCGTAGGTAATGGATGTGACATTGTGTTGACCTTGTCTTTCGCATGGGCTCCTGTCTCAGCGTGACACTTTGACATGGGGGAGGCCAAGTGTGCACTCCAGAGCCTCGGCTCCCAGCAGAAACACCCACTGAAGCCGGCAGGATGGGCGCTTGGTCCAGTTGTATCCATTTGAACATTAGGGCTTTGATTCTTAATGCAGCATCATGTCAGCAGTCTCAGAGTCTGTGTCCCTGGTTGAGTGCACCGTGGCTGCATGTCTGTGTGCATGTGCCCTGTGCTTTGCTTAGCACTTAAAAATTATACAGAACAATGCATGCTTGTTGAAAAAGAGCAAACATCAAACCCTTTCAATATCATAAAGTAAAACATTTGGCCCCCACACTCCCTCCCCCAAGAGGAGTCAACTGTGTGTGACGTGGACCCTCCTGACCTTTGGCTGTTCATGTGGGTTTTTTTAAAGGCCATCTGGGGACACGAGGCAGGTGGCCCTTGTTATTGTTGTGAGTCGCTCAGTCATTTCCAACTCTTTGCAACTCCACATATCCAGAAATGGCTAGGACTGAAAGGTGAAGGGAAAATGAAATGGCAGAGGCTGGATAGAAGGTCAGCCAAGTCCATGTGCTTGGGTTTAATCTGAGGGAGAAACATTCCACATAGGGAAATGATATGCTCTGATTTACATTAAAAACATTATTTTGGCTGCTACTTCTGTTTGGTAAATGTGTTACAAAGAGGTTGTGTCTGTTTGTAATTATATACAACTGCTGGCAACAGATCTAGAAGAAAAAAACAGTAATTTAAAGAGCTCAATAATTTATTATCAAGTCTAGAGGTAGGCAGAAGAAAGCAGGTGTAAAGTCTTTAGTATGTTGTGAGGGTCCTCAGTTTTTCTGGATTTCTACTTGGCTGTTCTTAGAATGAGATTCTTATCTTCATGTACCTTCATGTTCACAAGGTGGCTGGCAGAGTTCCAGCCATCAGGTTTGAGTTCCAGGCAGCAAAAGGGGGAAAGGCTGAAGCAAAAAAAAAAAAAAAACAAAATAAAGCTGAGTCAGCCTCCTTTAAAAAGCTTTCCTGGAATTCCTACCTTCTCTAACTTCTGTTCACAGTTCTTTGTTCAGAACTGCCACCAGGGGAACTAGCCAAACTACCATTCCTATGTAAAATCAAGATACTATTAGTGAGAATGAAGGGACATGGGTGCTGGGACGGGAAGCCAGCAGTCTCTACCCCAGGAAGCAAGAACAGAAGCAAAAGTGAGGGCGTGGGAGGCTGTGGAGAGTTCAGGGTGGGGGGATGAGCGTTGCTTTTATTGGACCAGTAGTGGTGGACATGGACTTGGGAATGAGCTCAGCGTGCGTCTGGTGCATCTCGAGCTGGTAGCATCATCCGCGCTGACAGCTCTCCCCCAGGGCCTGGGTATCCTACAGCTGTGTAGGATTTCTGTGGGTGTATTCAGTGTTCACTGGACACTCTGGGATTGCTGAATGAGTCCCATTCGGAGCCTCTCACCTGGCCTGGGCTTCTGGACCCACCTGTACCTCACTTCCCTACTAAGGGCTGGAGAGCAGGGACCCCACCCTGGGCCCAGGCCGAGGGTGACATGTGACCCACATGATGGGTCTCTCTAAGACTTGGCTCCTCGTGAGGCAGCCCTGTCTTCTTCCCCTCCTAGCCTCCTCAGCCTCCTGGCGTATCTGATGTTGCGTTCAGTGTGGCTTGCGCCCTTGTCGCTGGGTGTCTGGGCCTCATTCCCGTGGCCTTGGCCTGTAGCCCGGGGCCCATCCTCTGATAGCTGTGTTGGCGCAAAGCCATGCTCCATTCATGCGTCAGCTGTGGCTGCTTTCGAGCCACTATGCCAGGCTCGAGGACCTGGGACAGAGGCTCCAGGAATCAAAAAGCTGAAAATAATGCCCTTTTAAGCTGTTTGTTGACAAGAGGTGCCGCCTCCACCTAGGATGGGCCAGTCCCTGGAGGAAACAGACTCGGTGTACTCCTTGATTAATAGGTACGTCGGGATGGAGAACAGACACTGGGTGGAGGCAGGGAGCCTGGCCAGGCAGCCTTCGGGCTGGAGGAGGAGGTGCAGAGTGGTTCCTGAGCAGGGAAGCTGGGCGGGCAGATGTGGCCTGGCCCCTGGTGTCTGGCCCTTGTCCAACATCCCCCCAGTGGCAGGTGCTCACTGTGAAGTCCCCTGTGATTCCTTCCTTAGTGAAGTAATCCAGGGTGGTAGTGCCCCTTATTACACATAAAAAGTAAATGCAATTTAAAAAAGACCCTCCCTCCTCCAGAGCACTGTGGAGGGTGAGCTGTGCTCCCTGCTAGACTTTGGGAGCCAGACAAGCCCACCAGGGGTATGAGAGATAACTTCCCAGGCAAAATGAGGAAGGAGCCAGGAGCACTTCCTGGAGGCGGTGACTTAACCAGGGCAACAGGAAGCCAAAACGTCTCCCCAGACCCTCTTGAGTGGTTTGGTCTGCTCTGATATGTCAGAGGGCAGTTGGTCAGGCACTGGCCTGGGGCAAGCTGAGGAAGGTCTGGGGAGGCTGAGCCGGGAGAGTACCGCTGGAGAGGGAGTGAGGGGCTGGCTGTCCCTCGCACACCCTGAAGAGTGGTGGTCAGGAGGCTGACCGTGATGGTGGGGGTAAGGGGAAAGTTCTAGAAAGGGAGGGCCTCGGGCTGTCAGTTGGACCGGTAGACGTGGAAATGGGTTGGCTTGGTGGGGGTGGAAGGAAGAGGAGAGGGTGAGGGTGACTGACTCGTGGGGGAGGGGAGAGGCAGCTGCTCCCCCTTTTTGCAGAAGAGGGTACTCAGCGTGAGGAGGAGACTGAGAGCCTGTGGACTGCGCTGGGGGGCCCTGGGGGCAGCGTGTAGAGAATGCAGGGGTCCCACTGCACTCTCTTCCCCACGTGTGGTTGGCAAGGGTCCTGCCTCTGCTCCGGCCAGTGTTTTAGTTTAAACCTTTCCCGAGAAGCCGGGAACGAGTCCATCTCAGAGGTTCACTGGGTTCCTGGCGGGGCCTTGGGTCAGAGGCAGACCCCAGTGTTATCGATAATTGCTCCTATCCACTGATATCCGCAGGTTCACCTGCGGGCACATTCATCATGTATTCACCTCACATATGGTGCACGGTCTGAGCAGGCAGCAGCCAGACTCAGGTGGTCATGGGGCAGGGACAGAGGGTGGGCGCCAGGAGACCTGGGGACCCCCAGCCCCAAGTTTCTCTCTTAAGCACTGGCCTCTTCTTTCCATGAGGTGGCATCGGGTGGCCCTGTCCTTTGCAGGAGATCAGCTGTTCCTGCACGACCTGGCCCTGCGTGTATGGATGTGGTGTGTGTGTACATGTCTGTACTTAAGCACGCATGTGTGCTTGCACGGGTGAGTGTGCTTACACATTTCAGCCTCCACCTAGCTCTCTGGTCTTAGCTCTGGCCATCATCCTTGATGAGTATTACAGGAACTGGGAAGCCAGAGTCTCCACGGGAAACTGAAACCCCAGTTCCGTTCCCTTCCTTCCCATCACTTTACCAGCTGCACACGGTGCCCACACAGGGAAGAAGCTGGGCAGCCAGGCGTGTGTTTGTCCCGCCGGTCGGGTCCCTGTCTGTCCTGCGTTCCAGGCCAGCCTGAGGAGCAGGAAGCCCTGACCCTGTAGCGGCTTCTGGGCTGCAGTGTCTGTGTGGGGCTGTCGCCCTCAGGAGGCCCCTTACGTCTCCCCACTCTCTTCCTCCGCAGAAGAGTCCGTGGCTGAGGCTGTGGTGAAAGTGGAGCCATGCGCGGGGGCGGGGGTGATGTTGAGAGAACAGAAAGCAGGCGTTATTGCCACACATCCTGACTTGCATCCTTTCCTTTGCACTTTCTTCCAGAATTTCTTCAGAAGGCCGTAGGGCAGCGCGCTGTTTGAGAACCAGGTGGCCTTTCACGTTTGCACTGGTGAGAGCGGCGGACCTCACCCAGAGTGCTGAGAAATGCGGGGCCTGCAGGCTCGTGCTGCCCACCAGCTCCGGGCTGCGCTGCGGCTCTGAGCGGCCACCACCCCACCGTGACGCCTGCTGTGGGCTCCGCTGCCCGCCAGCATTTGCTGCTGAAGCCCCCGCTGAAGCCCTGACTGATGAGGATGTGTGCCCCTGTTGGGGGGCTGCTCACCGCCCTCGCCGTGGTGTTTGGGACGGCTGTGGCCTTTGCTCCCGTACCTAGGATCACCTGGGAGCACAGAGGTGAGGGCAGAACGGTGGCAGGTGCTGGCAGTACCGGACGGGGATGGGCGCCCTGCACCCTGCTCCGGTGTGGAGAAGCATGGGTGCTCTTGGCTGCTGGGTCCGTATTCTTGGCCCTTGTGTGTGGACAGAGGGCCTGCACTGCCGCGTTGGGGAGATGCTCCGATACCTGGAGACACTCGCAGAGCTTCTTCTTGGCCTTCTGATTTGGTTTCTGAGTCAGGGGGCGCGCGTGAAGGAAGTTTATCTTCTTTGTGCCTGACGACCTTTGGTGCACACTGCCCAGACACAAACCACAGTAGTGTTTGTAGCAGGCAGAATGTGGAGCTGAGCTTCAGGCTAATTGTTTCCATTTGCTGTTTATTGGTGTCTCTGTCATTTTCTGTCTTGGGAGCTCTATCTCGGGATGTCCCAGTCTTTCTGACTCCGTGGTCCTGAGCGAGCTGTGCTTGCAGGATTCAGCTGTCTTGTGCAGAATTCCCAGCACTGTGTGCTGGGAGAGCCTCTACCCTAAGCACATCTTTCTTCAACACGGGAAAATTAGAAGAGGGGAAAGTGAGAACACCTAATGCTTCGATAAAATCAGAACTTGGTGATCCGTGGAAAGCCAAATTTAAAATTGATGTTGGGACGGCCAAAAAGAAGAAACAGCTCCCTAGGAAAGAGTGTCAGTACATTTATATTACTTCTAAATAGCTAGTCCTTAAATTCCTCATATTCCTAAATAGCTATTGATGCAGTGACCTAGTAAGTGAAAAAGTCACCTGTTACTCTGCTTTGTAAGTTTGTGGTGGTTATCCTTAGAAAATGCTGCAATAGATTTTTTGTATAAGACTTTGAGGTAGATAATTTTTCCTGAAAAAGAAAATCCTAAATAGTTTTATTCTTTATAAACCTCATCTGTAGGTGATTAAATACACAATAGATAAGAGTTTGATGGGAGGCAGAGGGAACCGCAGTTGTCAGCAGTTTAAGGTATCTGGCCTGAGGTCCCTGGGAGATCATAAGGTCATACTGCCTCAAGGTCGTGTTCCTACAAGGTCACATTCCTGGGAGGTCACGATCCTGGGAGGTCACACTGCCGGGTTTGGAATTCAGCTGGGCTGAAGGGAGCAGGAAGGGAAGTCATGCCACAACACTGGTTAAGCGCGATGGGTCCATGGTGGCCTCACACTTGGTGGTGGCCTCGGCGGGTCTGTTTCACCCAAAGGTGCCTGAGTTCTGGCTTTGGCCCGGGCCTGGCCACCATGGGAGCAGACCCCAGGCATGACCCTGGTGGGTCGGCAGTGCGCTAGAGGGAGATTGGGTGCTCCGGCTATGTCCAGGCTCAGAAATACCTAATACGTTCTCCTCTTGCCCTGCCCTCCCCAGAGGTACAGCTGGTGCAGTTTCATGAGCCGGGGATCTTCAACTACTCGGCCCTGCTGCTGAGTGAGGACGAGGATACCTTGTTCGTGGGTGCCCGGGAAGCCGTGTTTGCCTTAAACGCACACAACATCTCCAAGAAGCAGCATGAGGTATGGTGTGGGCTCCCTGTGCCCCTGCTGTCTTTTTCTTTCCAGCATTTTCTCCTCAAGTCCATGCACTGGGCTCTTCCTGGGGTGGCGGTCCCTTTCTTGGCTGTGCAGCCTCACCCCAGTGGCCGGTCCCATGGGCCATCCTGCACATCCAGCGAGCAGCCTCCCTGCCCACCAGGGCCTAGGGCACTGTTGTCCAGAAGCTCCTCTCCTGCCCTGTGTCCACGAGCCCCATCTCAGGGTGTTTGCCCTGTCAGCCTCTGTCCTCCCCAGGCTGGCAGCTCACTCAGGGATCACCCTCTTTTTATCTTGGATTATTGAATGTTTTATTATGGAAAATCTCAGGCACACATGGGAACAGAGGGAGTGATACGATGAGCCCTGTACCCCCTCTCGGAGAAGGCAATGGCAACCCACTCCAGTCCTCTTGCCTGGAAACTCCCATGGGCAGAGGAGCCTGGTGCGCTGCAGTCCATGGGGTCGTGAAGAGTCGGACACGACTGAAGCGACTTAGCAGCAGCAGTACCCCCTCGAGGCTCCTGCAGAACAAGGGTTCACCCCTATCCTCTCGTCCCTGTCCTTGTCCTCTGCTCCCGGTGGGAGCAAGTCCCAGCCACATGTTCTTCATCCCCAGAAGTTTCCCAGAGCATCTCCTAAAGGTGGGACTATTTTCTTTTTTTCCAAAATATCATTATTGCATTCTAACAATTAATGTCATCAAATAGTGTTCAAATTTCATGGACTTTCACATTAATGATGTTTAACTATTCAGTTTGCTTGGGTTGAAATCAGACTGTCTGTGTGGCCGGGCACTCTGCCATCGAATCTCCATTTCTAGAAGCTGCCCTCGGTCCACTTGCTGGGAAAGCTGCTCTCAGTCCTGTCAGGCCCCCAGTGTTGGTCTGGCTCCTTTGAAAGGCGGGACCCTCCTCCTAGGTGGGCATTCTCCTTGCTCTTGACCATTTCAGTCTAGAGCACACCAAAAATTGCAGAATGGGACATTTTGCCTCTACCTTCTCCATCTGTGTACTGGAATATTGTCTGTGAAGGGGGGACTGCCCATCGCCAGCTATTCACATCTCCCAAGGCTAGTTCCTGTGGAAGTGGCAGGATCAGAGCTTAAAATCTTTGCCTTTCTTTACTAGTTTGCAAAATCATGGATGAGTTCTCTCCGAAGGGAGACAGTAGGTGTGGAGACTGTTTTTAGTATGACTGTGACTCATGGATTCAAACGTTTGAAGTGTGTCAAGCCATTGCAGCCAGACCCTCCCTCAGTGTTCAGACTGTCCCCTCCTAGCCTCTGGCAGTCTCTCCTTGGCTCCTGAGTCCTTAAACACCGCCCAAGTGGTCGGTGTAATTTTCTTATTTTCTGAAATCAAGCTGGCCCACACTCATCTTATGCATTTTCTGCCCCAGACCTCTCTTATCTTCTTGTTTTTGTCTTCATCTCCAGAGGCAGGCATAGTACTTAGTTTCTGTTTCACATAAATGAGACTGAAGTCATTATGCTGTGAAAATAAAGTGTTTAAAATTGTAAGGCGCTTAGAGCAGAGGGGTGTTCACAGCCTGACTCCCTCTCAGCCCCCACTCCTGGTGTTGGTCAAACCCCAGTCTCCTCGACAACTCGGGCCAACACTGTCTTTCAGAATCTCATGCTGGGAGCTCCCTGGTTCCACTAGGCACATAGATGCTCAGTCAGAGCCTGCATTGTTCTGTTAATTCCCTGACTGTGGCCCTTCAGACTGACCAAGAAGCTTGGGCCCTGTTGCCGTGAAAGAGAAGAAAAAGTGAAAGGACCCCAGGCCAAGCTTCAGTGAAATCCCCGAGAACGTGGTTAAGGGCCTGTCAGAGTTCATGTTCCCGTATCCTCAGGCATTGCCTGTAGATGATGAAATTGTGTACATTTTAATTGCAAAAGAAAGTTACTGTTTGGAATGGGACTTTGTTCTGCTTTCACGCGTCCTGGTCCTGATGAGGGCCCCCATTTCTCTGAAGACATGTCACTAGGGGGTTCACGTCACTGCTGTGGAGAAGCTCCTCCTGCTGCTTCCTGACCCCCGAGTGCCTGAATCCAACTTCGGTTCTCTGGGGGGAAATGTATTTTGGTGTCAGAGATGGACTATCACATGGGCAGATATGGCATCTGGGGACGGTGAGGCGGGAGTGTGGGAGCCTTCAGTGAGGCAAGACTGCTGCTTCCCTGGGAGGTGAGGGGCCAAGGCACCTGCCGGCCTGACTGCCCATCCACCTGGTGTGGAAGGAGCAGGAACCCAGGTCTCAGCGGAAAGACGCTCGACCTGCGGAAGCCATGTGGCTCCATCTCTTTCACCTGCTCCCATCACATAAAATTTAAAGCATCGTAACCCTGCTGTTCCGTTGAGCAAGTAAATATGAAGACTTTTTCTTGGCTTGAAAATTCCTTTTTGATTGTTTGAAAAGCCCCCTTTGTTTTTTGAAGTGGCTTGCGTTTTTTTTGGGGCTTTCCCACTTTTCCCTTGGTTGGGCTTTTTTGTTTTTTTTGCGGGGGCAGGGGTTCCATCCCTGGTCGCTGAACTGAGCTCCTCCATGCTGTGTGGTGCGCGCCCCGCTCCCCCAAAAAAGAGAGAGAATGCCTGCAATTTAGGTTTTGATGACTAATTCTCCCCACTTCTGGTTGTTTTGTTTCTGAAGTTGTTTTGCAGTGAGTAATGGTCATCTTTCTTCCAGGCCCCCTTTCAGGCTGTGCGGGGTGAGGACCACAGAACACTCTTGAAGCCCCTGTTGCTCACATGCAGTAGTGTCTGCTCTGAGCCCCACTTTGTAATCTGAGATGTTAATGCCTCGGGGAATACCTGTGTTTCAGATACCAATGTGTGCTTTGTAAACTGTGTATTTATATACCAGTCTGTCCTTTTTATTAAAGGGGGGACATGCACTGAAATGGACTCTTTCCTTCTTCCTTACAGGCTTATTGGAAGGTCTCAGAAGATAAAAAAGCAAGATGTGCAGAAAAGGGGAAATCAAAACAGGTAATTTAATTTGCAAACTTCAAAGACCACCCGGGGAACGGCTTACTTGTTTTACTCTCCCCAGTGCCCCGACTTGTGCTGGGTAGCCCCCGGAGTGTTCATTGCTGCTAATCCTGCAGGTCACCTCTCTGTTCCCACGTGGTGAGCTTGGGGCTCTCAGTGCCAGTGCCAAACATACCCGGCTTTTGAAAATTACTTTAAAGTTGATCTGAGTTTAATTGGTCCAAATGGCCTGCAACTTTGACTGTAGAAAATGATGTCTGATGCTTGCCGGCTAAAGGTGTAAAACGCAGGGAGGCCTTGTGCCTCTCCTGAACAGGAATGGCCTGGAGGGGTTGCTACAGGATTTTTGGCAACATCTATCCATTCCTGGAGATTCTGCTCCTTCTCTAGGAGATACTGGGCACTTCAGCATGGGGCTTCCCCGATGGCTCAGTGGGTAAAGAATCTGCCTGCGGTGCAGGAGACTCTGAAGATGCAGGTTCAATCCCTTGGTCGGGAAGATTCCCCTGGAGGAGGGCATGACAGCCCACTCCAGTATTCTTGCCTGAAGAATCACATGGAGAGGAGCTTGGTGGGCTATAGTCCATGGGGTCACAAAGAGTTGGACACAGTTGAGCAACTCAGCACAGCCTGGTCCATCTGGGGAACACTGGGCTGAATGTCCTTCTCCCTCCAGAATTCTGGGTTATCCCCACCCGCTGGGCCAATGTCAGAGTCTCAGAGTACAAAAGTCCCATCTTCCTTGGTCGTTGGTTAAGACAGCTCGGTTATGGTCAGTTTCAGTAGTTGGTGGCTAATTTCAAAACAATTAAAATTTAAACAAAAACAGAAATTTTGGCTAAACTTTTTTTTTTAGCAAAATACTAAGCACTGTCACGAAAGTCACTAAACTGGAAATGAGGGAAAATGCAGGCATTGCAATGTAATAACAGGTGTCGCAGGGAGTTATCTTAGACCTAAGTTACAACAGGCACTTGGGCTGGGCCCACGTGGAGGTCGCACAGCGGACAAGGGTCCCTCCCTGTTCTTTCACGGAGTATGAATTACTTCCAACCAGTTTAAAAACAGTCATGGCAAAAGAAGCCTTTCCTGAATGAAGATAATTTCAGATGTTAACGCATATAATCCCAGTTCATTGCAGCCTAAAATAGCCAGTGGGTTCCTCAGTGGCATCTGGTTTTCCTGGTGGGTCTCTCTGATGTGCAGCCAGGCTGGGAGCCCCTCCTTAGTCCTGCCTCTCCCCTGAGCTGGGCGGGCTGGGCACACCCCTCTCCTGAGCAGCACTGTTTCCAGTTGCGTGCATTAGGCTGTCAAGGGTAGGGTCCCCCAGAGAAAAAGGAAAGCAGAGGGAATTCTGCACAGCACACCCCCACGTGGGTCTGCCAACACAATGAATGGTTCGTGTTGCTCCTGAGAGCAAACGCATTTTTTCCTCTGCTGGGTGTCCACTGAGATTCAGGGTCAGCTCTCCTTGCTTTCTGGCCGGCATGTCTTTGCTGAGTATAGATCAGTGACTGAGGCAGCAGCCCGTGAACCCTGTAGAAACTGAAGCATGCAGGCCAGCTGCACATGTAGGACTGCCCAGGTCTGGGATCAGATCTCAGAGAGCCTGCCCCCACCGTGCCGGGCAGAGCAGGGCTGGCCTGTGGAGATGGAAAGCGTCTGAGGCCCGAGGTGGTCAGCGAGCTGTGAGGAGCTGCTGCCAGGCGTGGTCCCTGTTCTAGAGCGAGCAGGTGAGCCTTTGGGACCGTGGAGGGCGTGCGGTGGAACCTGCTCAGTGCTTGACCCATGTGCTTCTCTTCCCTGTAGACAGAATGCCTCAACTACATCCGTGTGCTGCAGCCACTCGGCACCAGCGCCCTTTACGTGTGCGGGACCAACGCGTTCCAGCCAGCCTGTGACCACCTGGTGAGGCATGCGGGCGCCCTGGTCGGTGGTTGAAGTGGAGTGGGGCTCGAAGCAGCGCTGAGTGGTCTCTATTCTGCAATCGAGGAGGATTTTTCTCCTGCCACCCATGTGGGAATTGGGGCAGCTATGGCTCCCCACAAGGCCTCCACCCCCTCAGCAGCCTCCTCTAAGCCTTCCTGACTATAAACCACCATGACTGAAGGCGTGGATGGGGCAGGACTCATGGGGCCGCTGGCCCGTAGTGTGGGGCTGGCCGTGGGGTGACCTTCTGGGGAGGCCAGTGTTGATGAGGAGAAGCACCATCATGCCCTGAACCAGCATCTTGCCTGTTTCTCTTTGATGCATTTTGCATTTTGTGAGGAAGCATGTATGACAGGGGCCGTGGTCAGGTGGAACAGTCAGGACTTTTGCTCCTGTGTGCTAGGTTCATGTATATTATGGGCTGAATGTTTGTGTCTCCCCAAATCCAAATGTCTGAGCCCTAATTCTCTGAATGTGATGGTATTTGGAGATGGAGCCAGTGAGGAGGTAATTAAGGTTAAATCATGTCATGAGGATGGGGTCCTAATACGATAGGATGATGGCCTTTGAAGAAGAGATAGAAGCACCAGAATCTCTCTCTTTCTCTCACCACATGAGGAACGGTGAGAAGGCAGCTGTCTGCAAGCCAGGAGAGGTTCCTCACCAGGAACCCTCCTTGCCAACATCACCCTGATCTCAGACTTGCAGCCTGAGATCCATGAGGCATGAGTGTGTGTGGTTGCAGCCCTACCCCTGGTCTGCGGTCTTCATGGCGGCCCGGGCTCACTGGGACAGCACGTCTGCCACTCTGGTCTTGGGGTACTGCTATCCAGTGTTGGCTGTTGAGGTGCAAGTTGTTCCCTGATCCTCTTTTCTGGAATCCGCCCCTCCAGGGAGTGACAACATGAGGCCAGTGGGGTGAGCAGTTTTAGAAGCAGGACCCATCTCTCCCTCACCCATGTCATGTCCTTCCTTGCCTCTTCCTGAGTCTCGTCAGTCACCTTCTGCTGTGTTAGGGTCCTTGGGAGAGGGGCCCCCCCTCTCCCGCTGCCCTCCCACCACTCCTGATCCGCTTGCTGACAATTAACGGGAAGGAGAGCGCAGACTGGGCAGCAGCGACTCACAAGAGACACTCTTTTTACTCAGATAATCTGATGAGTCATTTGAAACAACCACAGAGAGGGGAGAGGAGTGTTTTCAGTGCACTTCAGATTCAAAAACGAAGCACATTTTCTAGTGTTTGTTTCTGATGTAGTGAGTACCTGTCAAGTGTAAAGTATGCTGGAGTAGAAAACTGTTTGCTAGAACCCTAAATTCGTTGGTATTTAAAATATGTTTTCCGTTCTATTCCCCATTCTGTAATTATAATTATTTTGTTACATTAAATTCCTTGTCTTTTTTTTTTGAAGATAAAAATTATTATTTCGTTTTATTTTTTTTCCATTTATTTTATTAGTTGGAGGCTAATTACTTTACAATATTGTAGTGGTTTTTGCCATACATTGAAATGAATCAGCCATGGATTTACATGTGTTCTCCATCCCGATCCCCCATGTTTTCCAAACTTGAGTCAGAGAGGAATGACAGGACAAATTCTGGGCAAGGTAGGGACCTGCTTAGAAAACCTTGCGTCGGTATGCAGACCCCTGGGGAGGGGTCCACACGTGGCGTGGGTCTGCCTCACTGCCTGTGTCCACAGACTCTGGCAACTAGGATTGGGATCTGGGGTGGAGGGGTGTTCCACAGTGTTGAGATCTTCACTCCTCAGAGACAAACTTGGTTTCTTTTTGCTTAAGTCTTACTAGTCAGAAACATTTTGCACATGAAGGATTTCATGGCTAAACTCTGCTAGTCAGATGCTCAAGTTAAGTGTTAGTCGCTCAGTCGTGCCCAACTCTTTGCGACCCCATGGACTGCAGCCTACCAGGCTCCTCTGTCCATGAGATTTTCCAGGCAAGGATACTGGAGTGGGCAGATGCTCAAAGTATGGAATTTAAGCTTAAATTCCATAAACGTGTTGGTTGTGGAGGTGGGGGAATCATGTATTTCACTTAAACCTAGACCTAGGGACTTCACTGCTGGTCCAGTGAATAAAAATTTAGCTTGCAATGCTGGACACTTGGGTTCAATCCCCGGTTGGTCCAACATACCTCAGAGCAACTAAGCCTGTGCTCCACAACTACTGAAAGCCGTGTACTCTGGAGCCTGCATGCTGCTTTGTGAAGCAATGAAGATCCCTCATGCTGCAGCTAAGACCCAACTCAGCCAAATAAATAGTTAATAAACTCTAAAAAAACAACCTAGACATATTTTTCCCCAGTGTTTAAAATAAATCTCAAGCCAACGGAAAAGTTGATCATGCATACAGTAGACTGTACAGTTGGGAGCATCCATGTACGTGCACGTGTGTGGACATGCTGAGCTGTGACCCGTGATCCCTGAGTGCTGTCACCCAAACATGATCTAACCTCCAGTCCCCATTCAGATTCCCCAGCCGTCCTGCTGAAATGCAGTCAGTGAATCACACTGAATGCACTGTCTCCCCCGTTCACCGCTCCTGACCTGGGAGGTGGCAAATCTGAATACTGCTTCCACCAGCCTGTTAGAAATGTAACTACAGTTTTTTCCATGCCCCCAGCCCTTTCTTCTCTGTGACTGTGATTGTTTCCCTGGCTCTGACAGACATCGAGGCCACTAATCCACCCATCACAGTTGGGATGTCCATCTTCTTAATCTCCAGGCTGTCAAATGGAAAATGGAACCCTTCATTGCCGTGTGCTTCCTGGGTTGCCGGCAGTACACATACCCTTTCTGGTCAGCACTGCCGGATGGGTTTTTTTCTTCTCCAGCTTGCTATGTTTTGACCATTTTCCTCCTGAGATGCTTTCTTACTCATTTGTATAGACTTCTCACATACTCAGGGATGGACATGCCTTGTCTGTCATTTTGCTCTCGTGTCCCCCACTTTGTCACTGTTGATCTGTCTCCTTCTTTCGGTGGACAGACCCCGTCCAGTCCTCTGTGTGCTGGACCTGTCTGTTTTTCCCCTTTCTTGACTTTGAGCTCTCTCGCCAGGTGCAGAGAGATGGTCCCAAGACTGAAATGGTCACCCATACTTCATTAGTGCAGCACGCTTCCATCTTTAATACTCTGATCACCAGTCCATCTGGAGTGTATCTCAGTGGGTGGGATGAGGTGGAGGTTCTGCTCCTATTTTCTGTTATCTGTTCATTGGATGGCCTGCTCCCCCACTGCTTTGAAGGCATCTTTACTGATATTAAAAGTCTGTGTGTGGCCTTCTGGTTCCTTCCGGAGCACATCCTGTGTTTGGTTTGCCCTGGCTGTTCTGTGACCCTAGAGACATCAGCATTGACCGTCTCGGTCTTACAGAGGAGTCAACTGAGGCTCCAGGACCTCGAGGTGCTCTCGAGGGTGTCAGAGGGTGCCAGGGTGATAGAAGTTGCCAAGGTGCTGGCCTCCAGACCTGGGACCAGCTGGTGACAGCATACGTGCTATCCCCGACATCTCCCCAGAAGAGCAAGTCTGAAAATTAAATGATCCAACAAAGATGCATGATCAGGATGACTGCAGGATTTCAGACATTTTATAATACTCTTCCTTTCTGCTCAATTATAGAACTTAACATCCTTCAAATTTCTGGGGAAAAATGAAGATGGCAAAGGAAGGTGTCCCTTTGACCCAGCACAGAGCTACACATCTGTCATGGTCGGTGAGTCCTGCTCTTGGTGTCTGTTCCCGGCTTGGCCCCACTGGACCCAGGCGGCCCCGTTCCTCCTCCTCTGTAGTGATCCCCTCTGCTTAGTACCCATATTCACCGTCCTCACAGAAGGTCCAGGAGTCTCTATAGAGCTCTTGGATTCGTTGTTCAGTAGGATAAATGGCCACCTCCACAGTCTTTGAGTTAGCTTTGGGACAAGATTATTTTGTATCTGTCATCTGTGCAAATGACCTGGATGAGTCGGTCAGGTTGAGGGAATGCTTTTGTTCAAGAGATGTTTGTGACTGAGCCGTGGCCTGCCTTGAAATGCTCTTGCATACCCACCCAAGGCAAGCAAGCCAGGAGCCCCGTGTGCACCCACTGTTGTGTTTGTCATTTTACTGGATGCAGGAATTGCTTGTGTTGTTCTTGGCCCCAGACAGTTTAGCATGGAGCACAAAATCCCCCATGTCCAGAAACAGGAGACTCAGGAAACAGAAACACGCACCCAGAAGCAGGATGGTGGTCTCTCTGTTTCCTGGGAGGGCTTGTATCTGGCTGGGAGGAAAAGTGGTGCTGGGGCATCAGCGTGTCACCAACACTGTGTTAATCCCCTTTTCCTCTTTCCTCCTGCGTCACTGAAGATGGAGAGCTTTATTCTGGGACGTCGTATAACTTTTTGGGAAGTGAACCTATCATCTCCCGAAATTCCACCCACAGTCCTCTGAGGACAGAGTATGCGATTCCTTGGCTTAATGGTAAGAAGCGGGCCGCGTGGTGGAAGGTGTATTTGTGCTCGGGGTGGCTCCCTCTCCGCTGGAGCCCCCGCTCTAGTTCGCCCTCTGCCGGCTCCCAGCCTTATGGGAAGGCGTCCGTGGCTCATCTTCCTGTGTCGTGGGGTTCACGTCAGGCCCGGTGAGGTGGGGGTTCTTCTGGAACCACTTGGGGCTCCACCGCCAGCATTTGGGGGCTTGTTTTCTTCTCTGCTAAGTAAGCTGGTTGTGTGCTAAGTCACGTCTGACTCTTTTCAACCCTATGGACTATAGCCCACCAGGCTCCTCTGTCTATGGGATTCTCCAGGCCAGAATATGGGAGTAGATTGCCATGCCCTCCTCCAGGAGATCTTCCCAACCCAAGAGATTGAACCTGTGTCTCTTATGTCTCCTGCATTGGCAGGCAGGTTCTTTACCACTAGTGCCACTTGTGAGCTGGTTTAACCTTGCCTTTACCCTCCTTGAAAGTAGATCTGAGAGGCTCAGATTGACAAACTCAGGCTCATTAGATCAGCATGTGACACTATACCGTTATCTCTGGATGTCACATGTCCACATTGGATTCACAATCAGATGGCTCATGGCTACTCACAGGAGACTTATCTCCTGGGCACTGGCCAGCCTGCCAGAGTCTTGGGGCACCCGGATCTGGTGGTCAGTAGTTTGTCTCTTAGGGATGGGCTGTTTAAACCAGCCAATGCATATTCCCCAGTGAGTCTCTAGGGATGGTGGGGTCTGGCTCTCTGTTGCCTCCAGGCTGCCTGCCAGTTTAAAAATCCAGCCCTCCGTTCTTGGGCTGGACTGGGAGGCTGTGTGTCAGAAGCCCCACCTCCAGCATCTCCTTAGCCCAAGGAGGACAAGATGGGCCCCGTCATCATTCCTGGGCCCTGGAGTCTGTGTGGGGTGTGGCACAGGCACCCCCCCCACGTCCTGACGGGGGTGCCCGGGCCCTCTGGGGCTAATCAGAGCGTCCGTCCCTGCAGAGCCCAGCTTCGTGTTTGCTGACGTGGTACGAGAGACCCCGGAGGGCGAGGACCTCGGGGACGACAGGGTATACTTCTTCTTCACGGAGGTGTCTGTGGAGTACGAGTTTGTCTTCAAGCTGATGATCCCCCGGATAGCGAGGGTCTGCAAGGTGAGCCCACCCCCGCCGTTCTCTTTGGTCCCTGCACTTGGGGAGAGTGCGTCACCTGGGCTCCACGCTTCCTCTGAGGTGCCTGTCCCCTACCGCTTATTCTTCCACGCCACAGACAGCAGTGTGGATGGGCTGGCGGGCCCGGCCTTCATCCTTCCTGCAGGTCGCCTTGGGGACCACAGGAGCACCATGTGTGAGAGTGACCGGCTTTCTGTCCTCAGGGCTCTGTTCTTAACACATTCCTTAAACCTCTCCCAGTTTATGGGAAGTTCATTTTCCTATACTGTATTATTAACCAAAAGCTGTCCCTGATGGCTCAAAACAGTAAAGAATCCGCCTGCAATGCGGGAGACCCAGGTTCAATCCCTGGGTCGGGAAGATCCCCTGGAGAAGGGAATGGCAGCCACTCCAGTATTCTTGCCTGGAGAATTCCATGGACAGAGGAGCCTGGTGGGCTACAGTCCCTTGGGTCACAAAGAGTTGGATGTGACTGAGCGACTAACGCTTTCACTTTCACATTGTAATCAGGGGTTTTTCCATTCCAACATAAAGGTTGTGGGGGAGGCGTTATCACTGTGTCCAGAATGAGTACAGACGCTTCAGTTTCATGATCTTCTGTGTCCAGTTTTCAGAGTTTCAGTCTTCTGTCCAGACCCAGTCATGTTAGGAGTGTTCCATGCTTGTTGCTTAGTGTTCTGTTCACTAAAAAGTGCTTTGGGGAAACTGAAAGGTCCAGAGCATCTCGGCAGATAACTAAACAGCTGGAAGGAAGTAGAAATCTGATCTCCTTGAGAAATGCCTTTTAGGGGAGACCTCATCTACGCCACACTGGCCAGAGACAGACTGGGGAGCCTGTGTGTCCTCCGGCCCCTGGCTCTGCCGGTCACTCACAGATGGGTCTTGAGTCTGAAGGTGGATGTGAGCCAAAGGGCTAAAGCGGTGACTGCGCAGGAGGACAATGGGGCATCTGCTTTGTGACGCCGATTGTTCTGTCTGCAGTTGGGTGACTGCTCATGGAGCTGTTGTTGTGGGTTGGGTTTTGTGCTTTAATCCATAACCTGAGCTGGCACAGAAGGGGTTGCTGGAGTCACTGGTGGTCTGCAGCTGGCTTTCCTTTTTGGCCTCAGCTTCCTTTCACTGAGGCAGAGCTGCTCGGGGCTGGAGTACATCCCTCATCACCGGCTCTTCTTTGTGGGGAGCCTCCCCTCCTCTCACTGCACACGTCTTCGGGGTTCCAGCGGGACCAGGGCGGCCTGCCTTCCCCCTACCTCACCTGTCTTTGGGGTTCCAGGGGGACCAGGGCGGCCTGAGGACCTTACAGAAGAAGTGGACCTCCTTCCTGAAGGCCAGGCTCATCTGCTCCCGGCCGGACAGCAACCTCGTCTTCAATGTGCTGCGGGACGTCTTCGTCCTCAGGTCTCCGGACCTGAAGGAGCCCGTGTTCTACGGGGTCTTCACCCCGCAGCTGTGAGTGCTCCAGGCGGGCGGGGGTGGGGTGTTTGCAACGCAGGCTACTTCCCCACCACCCCTCCGCACCCTGCCCCCCACCTCAGAGCAGTCACATCACCCCCTCCTCCCCAGGAACAACGTGGGGCTGTCGGCCGTGTGCGCCTACAACCTGTCCACGGCTGAGGCGGTCTTCTCCCGTGGGAAGTATATGCAGAGCGCCACGGTGGAACAGTCCCACACCAAGTGGGTGCGCTACAACGGGGCTGTGCCCACGCCGCGGCCTGGGGCGGTGAGTGGGTGCGGGCTTCCCCCTGGGAGTGGGAGTGCTGGGGGCACGCTGTCCACTTCCTGGGTCCTTTCCCATCAGCGTGCTGTGTCACAGCCGTTGCTGTCAACTGCCCGAACGAGAAGGTGTTCTGGCTGGCACCAGATGTTTTGTGGGATTAACATTGCACAATAGAATTAGATCTGTTTCGTTTTCTGTGTCTTGCAGAGAAACATGATTTCTTGGCAGAGAGATGAGCACTACTCTCCATTCGTTAATATGAGTCACATTTTTTATTTCCCTTAAAGTGGTAAATTTGATGTAGAAATTGGTGTGGGTATCTAGGCTGTGGCAGCATCCATTTATGATGGATGAGCCGGTGAGCCGGGCTGTGTACATGGTCCATGGGTGGGACTGTGACCTGGGAGAGTGGCCTGAGGCTTAGAGCTCCCTCCCAGGACCATCCCCTCTGCGGATGCACCTTTGCTGACAGGTCAGCTCTTTTCCTTCTTGTCATTAAGCAAAAGGCCTTTACCTGTGGGCGTGAATTTTGGTGTACACACATTAGGAGCTAGGACAGAAAAAAGAACCTTCATGCTCTCGAACTTTATGCTGTTTATATTTATAATTGGACTGTTTTTAGCCATTTTTCCAGGCTTCTCTTCTGGAAGAGCTAGCAAAAGAGAAATGTGTGGTTTTCAGTTCCAGACGTCTGACATGAGTTTTTTCATTTATGAGTTGATGAAAATGACTTCATTGACTACATATAATGAGACACCATTGTGTCCTGTGGAAAAGAAGACAGTTGCATTTCCTACGTGCTTTATAACTGTGTCTTTAGATTCCTGGGGAAAGGTCAACTCAGTGTTTCCATCTTGGCAAGAAATCCATAGTGTACTCCTAAGTTCTACACGTCGGGGAAGCCTCGACTCTTGTGTGAGCGCGTGCTGCGTGCCCGAGTGCCCATGGTAATGGCTGATATGTTTCCTGCAGTGCATCAACCGGGAAGCACGGGCAGCCAACTTTTCTAGCTCCCTCAACCTGCCAGACAAGACCCTGCAGTTTGTCAAAGACCACCCTCTGATGGACGAGTCTGTGACCCCTATAGACAGCAGGCCCCGGCTGATCAAAGGCGACGTGAACTACACACAGATTGTGGTGGACAGGACCCGGGCCCTGGATGGAACCATCCACGATGTCATGTTTGTCAGCACAGGTGGGTTCCTGGGTAAGAACATGGGTACGTCCAACCAGGGCTTCTTTGGTGGCTCAATGGGTAAAGAATCTGCCCGCCAATGCAAGAGACACCAGTTCAATGCCTGGGTCGGGAAGATCCCTTGGAGAAGGGAAGGGCAACCCACTCCAGTATTCTTGCCTGGAGAATCCCATGAACAGAGGAACCTGGTGGGCTACAGTTTATAGGGTTGCAAAAAATCAGACACGACTTGAGCACCCAAACAACAATAAAGTCCAGCTAATCTCTGCCACACGGAGCCAGTGTCTCGCCCAGGTGCCCACGTGGTGGGAGGATTTGTTTGTGTGTGGGAGGATTTCTGAGAAGTCCCTGCACCTGGGTGGCTTCAGATCTCTGTGACCATCAGAACACCTGGAGTACCAGTTAAAAATGCAGGTCCTAACCCGGATCTAGAAATTCAGGTCTGATGGGTCAGGGCTGGTGCAGAGGGAGGCCAGGTGGTGCCGTGGAGGCGAGGTGAAAGCTGCAGACAGGCACGTCCTGCCTCCCTGAGTGAACAACTGGTCTCGAGACCTGTCCTGACCTGCCATGGGAGGCACACCTCTCCTGGTGGCCTGTAGACGCCAACACAAGCTTCCTGGAATCGAGGTGGTGATCAGGCAAAGGAGCAGCAGCAGCGGGCAGGCTCTGTGGTCAGTCCTGGGTGCTACCCAGCTGCTGGCTTCCCCTGCCTGGGGCTCTTGGTGGGCTGGCACCCCCAGAGGCCTGTGGTGCCTAAGAACCACGTCACATTTATTTGGATGACACAGTGTCGACCATTCTGATGAGGAGTATTGGACTTAACAAAGAGCTGTTTATTTTTCAGAAAAAGATGGGGATGACCCATGCCAGCTGGGTGTCCAGTTGTTTATTTTGCCAATGACTCTTCCCTTTGTGGGTCTAATGCAAAAACATCATCTGTTTCTAAGCCTCCTGTTGGGGGAAGGAGTGGGAGGCAAAAGGGTGACTGTTTGCTGCTGTGGCCAACAGCGCCAGCACTGTCCCCTCCTCCTGGGGACTGACCTGCAGCTTTGACCTTGCAGACCGGGGCGCCCTGCACAAAGCCATCAGCCTCGAGAATGACATCCACATCATTGAGGAGACTCAGCTCTTCCAGGACTTTGAGCCCATCCAGAGCCTGCTGCTGTCTTCCAAGAAGGTAAGTCCCCAGGGGGCTGGCAGGGCGGCCCCACATTTCAGTGACCACAGCCCCGGCTGGGCCAGGCAGGCCCTGTCATCCATCTAGCCCAAATGAACCTACCTTCAGGCTCTTACAGAAAGTTCTTCCATGAGCTGTGGGGTACAGGGAAGGCAAAGAAAGTGAAAATGTTAGTCACTCAGTCGTGTACAACTCTTTGCAATCCCATGGACTATAGCTCACCAGGCTCCTCTGTCCATGAGGATTCTCCAGGCAAGAATACTGGAGTGGGTTGCCATTCCCTTCTCCAGGGGATCTTCCCAACCCAAGGATTGAACCTGAGTCTCCCACATTGCAGGCAGATTCTTTACCATCTGAACCACTAGGGAAGGCAAACTGTGTCCTGAAAGTTGAAGAACCTCCCTGACTTGTTGGGACTTATGTGCAATGCTGTCAGGGGCTCCCTGGACCATGGAAACACATCCTCATGTGGGAACTTGGTGAGGTTGAGACCTCATCCTCGGGTGCCATCCATGCAGCTCCCTCATTTGCACAGAAAACGGTCCTCTTAAGTGATGACATGCTGTATCTGTGAAGTCCCCTTAGACAGGGTGCTGTCTCCTCACCGGGGGCAGCATGGTTCTTCCATAAAGGGCTGAGAGTGAATGCTGGAGGCTCTGAAGGCTGTGCTGTTGTAGCTCGAGAACAGCCATGGACAGTCCAGAAGCAAGTGAGTCCTGTTGGGCCCTAGCAAAGCCTTATTTATGGGCCCCAAGCTTTGCAGTTCACATTTTCTTTCTTTTCTATTTTTATATTCTTAATTATTTGGCTGCATCAGGCCTTAGTTGTGGCCTGATGCAGCCACAGGATCTTTGTTGTGCATAAAAAGATCTTTTATGCATGGTCTTTTATTACAGTGCACGGACTCTAGTTGCAGCACATGGTCTTAGTAGTTGTGATGTGTGGGCTTAGTTGCCCCATGGCTTGTGGGACCTGAGTTCCCTGACCCGGGATCAAACCCACGTCCCCTGCACTGCCAGGAGGATTCTTAACCACTGGACCACAAGGAAGTCCCCAAACTTTTCATATGTCACAAAATGTTAGTCTTTTGATTCTTCTTCAACCATTTGAATTACGTGAAAATTGTTATTAGTGGGTGGGCTGCCTAGGAGCGGCAAGCGGGCTGGATTTGCCCTGCAGTCCACAGGCTGTCCTCAGCTCTACACCCCAAGGGCCTTTGGAAAATGTGCCTCCTGGGTTACAACTGGGGTGGAGAGTGGGGAGCGGAGCGTGGGGCGGGCTTCACGTGACCCCGTGTCTACATCCGGCTCCAGGTGCATGACTGTGAGCCTGGGCGGGCCAGTCCTGTCTCCATCTCCTCCTCTGTGCAGTGAAGTTTGGCGGCCCCTGGGAGGGTCCTGGCCCTGTGCTGTGACGCCCCCCATGCTGTGGCCCCTGGGCTGATAGACTCTGGTCAGCACCAGAAATTGGCCTCCTGGCCACACGTCACATTCCCCTCTGCCGCAGCGCCCCCCCATCACTCAGCCTCTCCCACCTGTACCCCGTTTGTAAATCCTGGCTTAGGGGCACCAGGCTGGCCTGTCCCCACTTCATAAGGTGTCTCCCTGTTGTTGAGATTTTCCCTCTGGACCCACTGCCCTCCTGAGCTTTCCTCCCTTCATGCTGGAAAGAGATTGTACCTCTGGCCTCCCAGAACATCCTCGCTGCCCTGGGTCCTGATGGGAGCTACACCTGGCTTGTAGGGCCCAGGCTCAGTCCTTCCTCAGCCCCGGGGCTGTGGGCAGCCAGGATTGGGCCCCTGATAAGCAGGTGAGAAAGAGAAGAAGGCAATGTCTCAGTCAGGCTTGTATTTGCAAATACTGCAGTGGGCTTTCATCCTCTCCCCTTCATCAGGAGCTTGAGGACTTGCATCTGGTTTTCAGTCTCCTGTTGCAGGGTCCCCTCCCCTCTCAGCCCCTGCAATCTGTGTCTTCTCCCTCCAGGTCTGAAAGGGAAGGAAGACAGAATAGCCTGGTGGAGTTAGGCTCACAGACTTAGATCTGTGCCTCTCGAGCAGGTGCTTTTGGCCACCCTTTGCCACGCCCTCCCGAACAGTTTGTTGAAATAAGGAAACCCGGGGGCCCTTCTGGCCACCGCCATATTGCTCTGGTACTTCAGCCAAGCTGGGACAAGCATGCTTAAGGCCTCCAGATGGTCAAATACTCATCAGAACCAAAGCCGGGCCCCCAGTGTGGACATGTGGTGAGAACAGGGCTCAGCTCTGCTCCACGACGTCATTGCTGGACCCAGCTGGCCCTGCCATCCTGACCCAAGTCTTCATGGGCACTGATCCCACGGGAGGGATGGAGGAGGGAGGAGAGGAGGGGAGGGGGCAGGATCGCCCGTTGGAAGGTCTCACAGGTCAGTCATTTGCTCACTCCCTGCCATCAGGAAAGGTCAAGCGGCCAGGGAGGGAGCCTGGCGCCCCGGGGAGGGAATCGCCTTTCCCTACAGGAGCCCCCACTGCGCTGGGGCCTGGCTCATTTGCCTAGAACAGGTGGAAATGCATTGTGCAATCATGGGGTCCCACACCTCCTGGGCTGGTGGGCTCAGGGTGGCTTTGGAATGCTGGCTATGCTGCCATGGCAGCAGGAAGCGGCTGTTTGGGCTAAAAAGACACCAGTTCCTCCCCGCTCCCCAGCGGCAGGCTCTTCTGGGTCAGTCATGCCTGGTCCTCACTGCAGAAAGCTAATGAGCAGGCACCACAGGGCTGGGGGAGCGCAGAACGGCCGGCACACAGCCTCCACCAGGGAGCAGGGTTCCTTGTCACTACCTTCTGTCCCCTCACAGCAAGGGCATCGTGGTAAATGCACTTCATAAATTGTACCGTTTTAATTATTTTTGTGTGTACACCTTAGAAGCAGTAAATACATTCACACTGTGAAACCCTCCTCCCCATCCTTCCCCAGAACATCTTATCTTACACCACTAAAACCCCATGCCCGTTAACCACTGAGTCCCCCTTCCTCCCATTCCTCAGCCCCTAGCACCCACCCCTCTGCATCCCACCTCTGTATCTTTGACTACTCTGAGAAGAACCTCATGTCATTGGAATCCGACAACATTCGTCCTTTTGAGACGAGCCTATTTCCCTTAGCATCATGTCCTAAAGGTTCATCCGTGTTGTAGCAGCTGACAGGATCTCCTTCCTGTTTGGGGCTGAGTCGCATTCCATCCTGTGCATACCCACATCTGCTTTATTCACCCCCTGGTAGACACTGGGGTTGTCTCTCCCCTGCTGCATGATAGGCCTGCTCTCGTCTCTGGTGCGTGCGTGGCAGGCGTGCTCTGGGTCCCGGGGCCGGGCTAAGTGTGGTTTTTCTGTGGACGTTCTGTAATGGTGAGATGCCACCTGTGCAGCAAAGGCAGGAGCCCCTCCAGCTCTGGCCGCGTCCACCCACGACCACCCACCCGTGGACCCAGACATAGAGAGTCCAGTGCTGCAGCTGAGGGCAGTCCCCCAGAGGGTGGGGGCCTGAGCGTGTGGACCCAGACATGGAGAGTCCAGTGCTGCAGCTGAGGGCAGTCCCCCAGAGGGTGGGGGCCTGAGCGTGTGGACCCAGACATGGAGAGTCCAGTGCTGCAGCTGAGGGCAGTCCCCCAGAGGGTGGGGGCCTGAGCGTGTGCATACTCAGCACATCTCACAGGAGCCAGGTGGTACCTGGCCAGATTGTTTTCTCTCACTCAAGAGTTGAGGTGGAATAGTCCTGCTCCTTCCCCCGTGCTCCTATCGAACCTGAGCAGGTATGCTGGTAACAGCGCCCTAACTCCCCTCCACACGCCCGATCCCCACGTTCCTGCAACCTGCTTTCTGACTCCAGGGCCACACGTGGCCTTGGCACCTCTCCTCAGTCCTCCCCGTCTGGATGGCTCCCCATCTGCCCTCGTCTTGGTGACCTTGACACTTTTGGAGAGTACTAGTCAACGTTTGGTGGAATGCCCTTGAGTTTTGGGCATACCTGGTGTTTCTTGTGTTTAAATAGGGGTTGAGCATTTTGGGGAGATGACCTCTGTCTCAGGAATGTGGAGTCAGTGTGACCTCTTGATTTTTTTTTTTTTTNTTTTTTTTTTTTTTTTTTTTTGGCTGCATCCAGTTTTACTTTTAGCATGTGGGATCTTCATTGTGGCATGCAGGATATAGTTCCCTGACCAAGGCTCAAACCCAGGAGCATTGGGAGTATCTAGTCTTAGCCACTGGACCACCATGTTATCCCCCCACTCTGTGGTCAGTGGGAGCAGCCCACCGCATGGGGCCAGGAGCCAAGCCCCAGCTCCTGGAGGAGGGGTTGAAGAGTCTGGGGGCCACATTCAGCCCCCGCAGTGGCTGACACTTAGTTGTGGGCAACCGTGGGCTTCCCTGGTGGCTCACATGGCAAAGAATCTGCCTTCAACGCAGGAGACCTGGGTTTGATCCCTAGGTCAGGAAGACCCCCTGGAGAACGGAATGGCAACCCATTCCAGTATCCTTGCCTGGAGGATTCCATGAACAGAGGAGCCTGGAGGGCTACAGTCCATGGGGTCGCAAAGAATCAGACATGGCGGAGCGACTAATGCTCTGAGGCTAAATAGACACGCAGTTCTGTCTTGCCCACTGACTTCCATGTCCACCCGTGGGCCTTGCCTGCTGCGATCACTGCTATGAGGTCTCAGGCCACTTTACTGTTCCACATTCATTGGAGTGGGTCAGCTGCAGTCATGCGGGCTCAGCCCTGCCCTGTTGGGGAGCAAGGGCTGGAGGCTGAGTGGGCTGTAGGATGGGGGGATGGAGGCAGCCTGGGACAGGCTGCCCCCCTCCCCAACCCCGGCCACCTGCTCCGCTCTGCATGAGTGTCCGCACCCTCGCCAGGGCCCTTCTATAGGATCCTGCTGAAGTTGCCCACTGGGCCAGTCACCCCAGGAAACTTTTCCTCTCCTCCGAGTCACATGATCCCAACTGTGATCTGAGATGTTGTCCTGATTCCTTCTTATGAATACCAGGGTGCTCCTGGCCTCAGTGCCCAGGTCTCTGCCTACGTGGACAGGCCAGCACTGGGCCTGGCGCTCTGTTACTTGCCTTCACAGTGTGACGCCGTCGCAGGGGCACTGCCGTCTCTTTCGGCTGTGCTCACACATGGTGGGTCTGTGACCCCTGGGCCTTCGAGGCATCACGGGCCAGGGGATCTGGGGTCACACGGGGACTTTGCACTCCAGCCAGACAGGTTACTTGAAAACGGGTTTCCAAGGACAGAGGCTGTGTTTCATCTGAGTCTCAAATAGGAAGCGCTGTGTAAATTTGGCAATTTTTTGACATTAAACAAAGGCCTTTCTAGAATGTCAAGGTGAGAGTGACTCACTAGCAGAGGAGAGAGAAAACGCTGAGCTTCTGAATGGCCAGCCCTGAGTCTGCTGGTGGGCTTCCGGTGGACACCGAAGGGCAGCCTTCATTCTAGCTGAGCTCAGTGAGAGCAATCAGCCTGCCCCGATGGCCTCTGCACCCAGTTTTCCTTCTGTGCTGCGGGCTCTGGGGCCATCGGCCTGAGAGGGAGGTGTCCCAGGCCCAGTGTTGCGGAGCATGGAGGAGCCTGTTATGCTCTCTGCTACTTTCCCCTGGTGGCTCAGATGGCAAAGAATCTGCCTACAGTGCAGGAGACCCAGGTTCAGTCCCTGGGTTGGGAAGATCCCCTGGAGGAAGGTGTGGCAACCTACTCCAGTATTCTTGCCTGGAGAATCCCATTGAGAGAGGAGCCTGGCGAGCTACAGTCCATGGGGTCACAAAAGAGTCAGATATGACAGAGCGACTAACACTCACAGACACTCTGCGCGTGGCTCTCCATTTCCCTAGCTGTGTTCATTTCTTGTAGATGCGAGAGCAGTGACTGCCTCCTCACTTGTCTTACCCTGTTTATTAAAACTCTGCTCCCCTCCAGCATTCACTGCGGCCTCGCTGGATTCACACACTGTCGTCTATGTGCTGGTGTTCATGTGTGGGAACACGAGATGGGTTTTGGAGCCTCTGAGCCTCACTCTGGCCTAGTGAGGCTGGGAGGGCAGCCGGGAGTGTCAGGCTAGTGCACCTTCCTGAGCAGAGTGGGCAGAGGAGGTGCAGAGAAGCACTGCTGACAAGTAGGATGAGGGTGAGCACTCGGAAGGGGAGGGAGGGGTTTGGAGCAAGGCCCAGTGTACTCTGAGTTAGTCTGTGGGCTCCCCCCAGCCTGCAAAACCACGCGCTGCCCATGATGTCACAATGCTGCTATGCAGATCTGTCTAGGATCTAACCTGGCCTTGTACCACTTCCTCCTCCAGAAGCTCGGGGAGATGCCTTGTCACCATTCCTCCCTGTGAGCTAGAGAGGCACCCAGCCCTTGAAGGCTGCCCCACCCCATGCCCACCGCTCTCGTCTGTTTCACACCCACAGGGTAGGAAGTTTGTCTATGCCGGCTCCAACTCAGGCGTGGTGCAGGCCCCTGTGGCCTTCTGCGGGAAGCATGGCACCTGCGAGGACTGCGTGCTTGCCCGGGACCCCTACTGCGCCTGGAGCCCAGCCATGGCCGCCTGTGTCGCCCTGCACCAGACTGACGGCCCCAACAGGTAGCGTGCGTGGCATGCGGGCGCCCTGCCCAGCCCTGTGGCCTGACGCATGTGCACCCTGTAACCCGTGGCCCGTTATCTTGCAGGGGGCTGATTCAGGAAATGAACGGGGATGCATCCACTTGCCCTGGTAAGTCGCCCGTCCCCGCCACCTCCCCTTTAGGGGCGGCCGGGTCTCCTAACCATTTCATGACGCTTTGGTGTTGTAGCATTTCGCACGTTTTGTTTTTCTTTCTCTACTCGGAACAGAGGTCGAGTATCTCGTGGCAGACCCCCGTGATGTTTCTCTGTCCCTTGTATCACAAAACAGGATGCTGAAGCCATGCAGAGTGTGTTTACTGGGAGGCACTCTCATCCCAAACCGTGAAGTCCACTCTTGACACGCCTCTCTCTTCCACTTAGCTTGGGGCTACACCTCTTGTGGGGCTTCCCCGGTGGCTCAGTGGGTAAAGAATCCATCTGCGATACAGGAGATGCAGGAGACATGGGTTTGATCCCCGAGTTGGGAAGCTCTCCTGGAGGAGGGCATGGCAACCCACTCCAGTATTCTTGCCTGGAGAATCCCATGGACAGAGGAGCCTGGCCGGGTATAGTCCATGGGGTCACAAAGAGTCGGGCACAGCTGAGCACACATGCATACACACCTCTTGTGAGCCGGAGGGAGCTGCTCACGAGACATTAGTTCCCGTTCCCTTTAGGTCATCCCATCCCTGCCAGGAGGTCAGGCATGTCCCAGCTGAAGGCAGGTGTGCCCTGGGCTCCCATCCCTAACCTGACAGATGTCATCAGTTAAGACAGGTTTAGGAGGAGGGTGGCAAGGCCCGCCGAGCTGCTAGCAGAAGTCCGATGTGTTTGACTTGGCGCCGCCACCAGAAGGCACAGCTGGCTTCTGTGCGGCCTCCCTGGCCTGGGGAGTTCTCCCCGTCCCCTGGGGCTGCCACTGGGAGCTCATCTTTGCTTTTTGGTCACGCATGTCTTTATCTCCTTAGCTGTTCTGGAAGATTCCATGTTGCTCCACTGGGTGAAATTCTTGTGTCCTCTTGTACGTGTTGACCTATTTTCGAGAGACGTGTTGAGTGGGGTTGTTGATGCTGTGCACATTTATTTTAATGTTCCAGATAAAATTAAAGAAAGTTACCTGCAGCATTTTTTCAAGCATGGCGGCACAGCAGAACTCAAATGTTCCCAAAAGTCCAACCTGGCCCGGGTGGTATGGAAGTTCCAGAACGGCGTGCTCAAGGCCGAAAGCCCCAAGTACAGCCTGGTAGGCAGAAAGAACCTGCTCATCTTCAACCTGTCAGAAGGAGACAGCGGGGTGTATCAGTGCCTGTCGGAGGAGAGGGTCAAGAACAAGACAATCTTGCAGGTGGTGGCCAAGCATGTTCTGGAGGTCAAGACAGTCCCACGAACCACAGTGGTCTCTATGTCGCCGGCCACTCGGACAGAAGGCAGTCGGATCACCCCCAGAGTATCAGTGGGACCCACCCCAGTCTCCTTTCCCCAGACCCCAGCTGTGCGGGTCACCACGCCGGGTGCTGTCCCCCCACCGTCCAGCCCCGTGGCACCCACCAGTACGTCCTGCGAACCAAAGATCGTCATCAACACGGTCCCGCAAGTCCACTCGGAGAAGACACTGTATCTCAAGTCCAGTGACAACCGCCTCCTCATGTTTCTCTTCCTCTTCTTCTTCGCCCTCTTCCTCTGCCTTATCTCCTACAACTGCTATAAGGGCTACCTGCCCGGACAGTGCTTGAAATTCCGCTCGGCTATGCTCCTCGGGAAGAAGAAGCCCACATCAGACTTCTCAGACTTTGAGCAGAGTGTGAAGGAGACGCTGGTGGAGCAGGGCAGCTTCTCCCAGCAGAATGGGGGACAGCCCAAGCCGGCCCTGGACACCGGCTACGAGACGGAGCAGGACACCATGGCCAGCCGGCTGCCCACGGACCGGGAGGACTCGCAGAAGATCGACGAGCTCCCGGGCAGGGACCGGCCGTTCGACGTCAAGTGCGAGCTGAAGTTCGCCGACTCGGACGCGGACGGGGACTGAGGCCCCGGCCGCCCACATGTTCCTTGTGTTGCCAGCTCAGCGCCCCATCCAGTGCTGCGTAGGTAGCCGTTGTCAGCAAACCTCCGTCTTCTGTGTCTTTTCTCTTGGGTCGCGCTTGTGACTTGGTTTCTCTTTGTCCTTTTGGAAAACAGCGAGCATCGAGTCCGGCCTCCCTGGTCGGTGGGGCGTTTGGAGTCAGGCCCGCAGGCTCACCCGCGGCCGCTCTGCGGCGGAGAGATGGCCACACTGCCACTGGCCTGAGAAGAAAGTCTGTGAACGTCCCCTCCTCATAGCAGCCACTGAAAGATAATTTAATTCCAGATTGGAAATGACATTTTAGTTTATCAGATTGGTAACTTATCACCTGTTGTCCAGGTTGGCACAGACCTTTCCTTCCACGTCATTACTTTGTAGGATTTTGCTTTAATTATGTTGGCGTGTTGGGTCATTTTATTTTTTTAATTACTAAAGCAGATGTTTTAATATTTGGAAGGTGTACATCTTCTGAATTTTGTTGTATATTAGGATAAAGGTATGGCTTACGTTGCTTAAGATTCTCAGGGATAAACTTACTTTTGCTAAATGCATTCTTTTCCGCTTTTAGAAATGTAGACAAAATCATCTCTTGATCGCATTTCTTTTTTTAATTATTCTTAAAATTTTGTTCCTTGAGGGAAGCATCGTTTTCAGAGATTTTTCTTTCTGTACCTTTTTACTCTTGTCTTAACTCTTTCGAGGAAAAGGCTGTGGGGGACCATCCCACGACACTGGGCAGAGTTTGGAGGGAGGGACGGGCCCCAGCATGCTCTGGATGGAGCTGGGCTAGCCCAGAGCTGAGAGGACAAGCGTGTTACAATCTAATGCCCATGGCCACTGGTGAAAACCTCTTGTTCAGGCAGAATGTTCTCCAGGATATCTTGGTCATCTGAACATCTCCTTTTTCATTTTGCTTCCATCTCATACTCTCCGCCCGCCCAGACTTTCTGTTTGGCCTAACTGAGCTGTCCACAACTGGAAAAGAGCTGGGTGGCCAGGGGGCAGCCAGGTCAGTGACCACAGCCCCCCAGCCCCCACATGCTGCTGCCGCAGACCTGCCAAGCCTGGCGCCATCTGTCAAGGTGCGAGTGGGCCGCACGGTCCTACCATCACCGACGTCACACTCCACCTCCTGCTTTCCAGATGCCCACAAGAGGAGGCTTTCTTTCCGTGGCAAAGAGCAATAAACTCTGAGCGTGTGTGCCTGTGTGGCCGATGTCATCTTCCAGCATGATAGGATTTGACCGTTCTGGTGTAAACATTTGTGTTTTATAAGATTTACTTTGTTTTTATTTTTCTACTTTGAATTGTATACATTTGGAAAGTAACCGAATAAACAGAAGCTTATATCCTTGATGCGGGCACGTGGTTCTCTGCGGCTCCTCCGCCGCCTCCCCGCGTGGCCTGGGCCCCTTTTCTCTCCTCTGCTTCATTCTCCTTCCCCTGCATGCGGTGCACTCCTGATGACTTCTCCTCAGAGCCCTCTCTCTTTTCTGTCCTCTGTCTCGCAGCCTCATCTCCTCTGCCCTTCCCTCCTCCGGGGTCCTCTTCCCTGTCCTGTCTGGGCCCCGACTCATCTTCCTCTCCCCGAAGCCCCTGGCCGGCCTCGGGCCCAGGGCCTGACAGCCGCCTGCAGGTCATCTTGCTGCCGCCCTTCCTCAGCGACCAGGCCCAGCACGTGCATGCCCTGGGAACCTTCCATCTCTTCTGCCAGGCCACAGGTGAGCAGGGCACCTGTCCAGGTGTGGGTGGGGGGGACTTCCTCCAGAAGCACTGCCTTCCTTACTGCATCCCTCCAGTAATCTCCAGCGATGCTTAACCGTGACCCCAGAGCTGTTCCTGTGGACAGTAGGGGTCAACCAGTGTTTTCCATGAAGGACCAAACTCGGACTTTGCAAGCCATGGTTTCTGTTGCAGCTACTCGGCTCTTCTTTTGTAACCTGAAAGCTGCCAGTGGGTGGGTGTGGCCATGCACCCAAATTTATTTGCTCACTCCAGCTGCAGCTTGCCAGTTACTGGTATATAAGGTTACTTCTGTGTTGGCTAACACTTTGGGTTTAATAGACGTGGCATCTGGAGATTTAAAAAATGAACTTTAGAGCCTCCAGAATGGGAATTGTTTTAACAATTTGCTTTGAGATGTTTAAACGCAGAAAAGGTGTCAAGTCTAGTGTGCCCTCAGCCATAGGCAGTGTTGGCTCAGTGCTGGACAACACCGAGATGGGGTGTCAGCCACGCCTCTGTGCTGAGCATGTCCCATGGGGGCTCTGGGCAGTGCTCGGCGGCCTGGCCTCCCCGCTGCCACCTTCTAACTCATTAGTAGCTGCAAACACACAGCATGCTCCAGGGCTGCTCAAGAATAAACTTAGGAGGAAAAGCAAATCTCTTTTTTTGTTTTCACTGTTTGGAGAATTTAAGCAAGCTGTGGGAAGTGTTAAGCTGCTACCCACTTCCCTGTGGGTTGACTCACGAGCCTTCAAGCGGCCATTTCCACTGTGACCCTGCACTTGTAGCCGCTGGTGGCTCCGTCTAGGCCCCAGGCATTGGACAGGGAAGTTGTCTATGAAGGAGATGCTTGCAAACAGACCTGCGAGGGGTGGGTCCATGTGGCCCCAGGTCACCTGGGTGCTGTTCTTAGCCCTGACTCCTTGGGCAGGCGCTGGGGAAGTGCTTCAGCCCTCCCTGGCCCAGCCCGCAGTGGCAGCATCCTTCACAGCCACGCTGGGGAAACCACCCAGCAGTGGGAAGGCGGAGACACTTGGTACTGGTGTCTCCAGGCTCCCTGCTGACAGACGCAGGCCTCAGGATCCCCACTGATGGCCTGTGAGGGCCCACGGCTCGATGGAGCAGTTTCACTCCGTCTCCACTCAGGGACCTCCCCTTCCCGAGGGCGGCCTGCTGGTGAGGGGCGGAGTGGACGAGAGCACCTCTCCTCTGCTGAGGCCGTGCTGGGGGCCTGTCCCCAGGCTTTTCCTGCCGCAGGTGGCTGGGTTGGGTACCCCCCATGATACATCCAGATCTAGGTGGGTGTTGCCCTTTTCTCCTAAATCTAGCCCATGAGCCCACACTGGGTCCCTGCGCGGTGCGGGTGTTCAAGTGCACGGTGTTTAAGAAGGCAGCAGCCCTGGACAGCTCCTCCCTCAAGTGGTGGCCGGCTCCGGAGCTCCATCAGCCAGTGCAGGCTGTGGCTCTGCACAGGTGTCAGCTCCTGCCTCCACCTGCGGGCACCTCCCTGTCCAGGCTGCTCCCACCTGGCCTTGGCCTGGGTGTCACTGCGGAGCTGGGCTTACCAAACTGTCCCACGGTGGCTGGAGCGCTGGCCCAGCTAAGGCCAGGTCAGCTTCTCACAGTGGGGACGGCCTTACAGCTGAGTGACTCTGAGGGGCTTCTCTGCATCTCCAGATTATGCTGGTGGAATGTGTGTGTGCTTGGACGTCTGTATGTTGATATGTGTACAACATAGGTATGTGTATTGTGCTTTCTGTACTGACCTATCTCTGTGTGCACACATGTGCCTGTATGTCTGTGTGTCCTTGCATGAACATGTATGCAGACACCTGTGTGTGTGAATGTGTTTCTGTTTGGCGCAGAACACTCTGCACAACTGTGCCTTGTGGCCATGCTTCTATTCAAAGGCCTTGAGGCTTGAGTGTGGGGAGGATGAGTTCCAGGTTTTGGGGGTGGTTCTCCTACCTGCTGGCTGTCTTCCATTTGAAAGTTAGGAGTTAGGAAAATACCGATAAATGGAGAAAAGGGGTTCTGAGCTGGAGAAATCATGAAAGCATGTAGTCGTGTTCTGCTTTTCTGAAAAAAAACCCATGCTCTTATGGAAAATTAGAACAGATAAGCAAAGAGATGTTCCACTATGTGCATGTGAGCACACTTTATTTCGCCTGTAAATACAGATTAAGATATGGGACATCTCAGAGGTGTGGCAAGTTCAGATTCAGACCCATTGCAATAAAGCAACTATTGTAATAAACTGAGTTGCATGAATTTTTTCCTTTCCCAGTACATTTAAAACTTACATATACACTATACTATAGTCTATTAAGAATGGAATAAGCATTATGTACCTTAATTTAGAAATGCTAATGGTCATCTGAGCCTTCAGCAAGCTGAGGCATTTACAACAAAGATCACCAGTCATAGTCACCATACAATTATTATATTAATGATAATGAAAAAGTTTAAAGTGCAGTGAGAATTACCAAAGTGTGATACACAGACAGGAAGTGAGCAAATGCTGTTGGAAAAAATGGCACCAATCAACTTGCTCAATGCAGGGTTGCCACACACCTTTGATTTGTAAAAAACATAATTTCTGCAAAGAGCAGTATAGCATAGCACAGTCAAACGAGGCAAGCCTGTGCAGATCACAGCGATTGGTGATGTGTCCGTATGCATGTCTGTGCAGATCATGTGGTTGCACATGCACGTATATACACACAGAAAGTTTTGCTGTTGTTTAGTCGCCCAGTTGTGTTTGACTCTTTGCCACCCCGTGGACTGTAGCCCACCAGGCTTCTCTGTCCATGAGATTCTCATGGACTCTGGAGAGCTTTCCAGGTGGCTCAGTGGTAAAGAATCCACCTGCCAATGCAGGAGACAGTGGGTTTGATCCCTGGGTCGGGAAGATCCCCTGGAGGAGGGCATGGCAACCCACTCCAGTGTTCTTGCCTGGAGAATCCCATGGACAGAGGAGACTGGTGGGTTACAGTGCAAAGAGTCCCAAAGAGTCCCAAAGACACAACTGAGTGACTGAGCACACACACACACGCGGACTCTGAGCCACGCGGGGGAATCCAGAGTGAGTGTCCTTGGTGCGTACTCCGAGCATCTGGGTGCTCAGCGACCAGAACAGCACCCCTATGGGGGCACCTGGCCGTCCAGTAGCTTGCAGGACTCGGCGTGAGTATGGGAGCTGAGCACAGGGAGGGGGATGCCTAGAGCTGCACGGGACATGGCCCGATGACTTGGGGTGGTCTCTTGCACCCCCCCTCCAGCTGGGGGCTCTCAGGCCCTTCGCCTCTAGGATGGGTCGGCTTTCCTTAAGAAAGGGCCGTTGCTCAGAGGAATTCTAGTTTTGTCACACAGTGGAGTATACTGGAGAAGGAAATTGGAAACCCACTCCAGTATTCTTGCTGGGGAAACCTCATGGACAGAGGAGCCTGGCATGCTACAGTCCATGGGGTCACAAAGAGTTGGGCACATTTGAGCAATTAAAACACATAGTCAACTCTGCCTAGCGGTTTCCTTGGACAGGGTGGGGTCAAGGTGGAGCCAACAGTCCCACAAACCTGAAGTGGGGGCTGGGGCCCGAGACTGCTGGCGGCCCCAGCCCACGGTGGCTGTGAGGGATGGGCCCAGCACCCCAAATTTCCGGGTAGCAGGCCCCTGGGAGACAGGGCAGGTGGGTTTGGCTTGCTGCCCTAGGTCCCCACTGACATAGTGTATTGGCCCTGCTGACTGGTTTTAAGTTTTAACTTCCTTTCCCTCTCTCTTTAATCTCTTCTGCATTCAGAATGAGTTGGATAGTTTTTTAAAAAGAATAAATGGAACGTAAGTATTGTAACATTTTTCGTACTTGACATGGTTAGATCCCCATTTAGAGAACATTTAATGGTGCTTCATGCTATACTCACGGTAAAGGTGCATGCGGGAGTGGTTTTCATGTTTGTGCCCCAATGACTGTGGGTCTAAGAATTTGGCTCCTGAGAGGTCCTGGCCTGTATGGTTCAGGGTGATGAATCGTCCCCAGCTCAGGCCACCTGGGTTCTTTGTCTCGGCGTTGGTCAGGAGAACCTATCCGAGGCTCCTGTGACCCATGTTTGGGGAGCCCGTCCTGGGGACTCAATGCGTGTCATCAATGGGCAGGGCAAGGAGATAAGAACCGACCTCACTGACTGTTCTGAGAAGCCTTTGCATTTTTGACCAGTCATGGCTCATGAGTATCAGCTTTTAGAGTTGACCGCCCTGAGTTGCCCACCAGCAGGGGAATGACTAAATGGGGCACGGTGTCATGAAGAGCCTTCAGTTAAAGCGAGGCAGGCACCCAGCAGGTGTCACAGACATGGGTGTGTGTACCTGTACATGTGGATCTGCATATATGTATAAGCATGCATACCTGAAAATTATAGTTATCTGTGGGCAGGGTACAAAATGTTCTGTATACAAAAATGTACCTTGTACAAATTATGGTTTCCCGGTTGGCTCAGTTGTTAAGAACTCGCCTGCCAATGCAGGAGATACAAGAGACGCAGGTTCAATCCCAGGGTCAGGAAGATCTCCTGGAGAAGGGCATGGCAACCCACTCCAGTATTCTTGGCCTGGAGAATCCCCTGGACAGAGTAGCC